TAAAGGCTAGGCTCACAACCAAAAATATAAAAATATAGACTGATGGTTCTGTGCTTAAATGCCATTGTGGGTGTATGCTGACTTCCACCAAACAGACTCTTCACAAACACAGAAGTTGTAAACAAAAATGACTGCCAAAACAAAACAATACCATTTTAGAAATAAGCCCCTTAGAGTTTGACATTTTTTACATTTCCATCAACACTCACAGAGGTGGCTCTCACAGGCACACCAGACCAAGGGTACACCAGACCACAAGACATCTTTCACACTTCCCAAATAGTTTTATATTTCAGCTATAAAGGTCAGTTCCCAAGGCCTGACTTGTTCTTAACAAGTAGAGTTTTTATGTCCATTTAATCAGTCTTATACCTTTCTGGGCCAATTCATCTGCAGACAGGAGGAGAAACTGTCACCAGGTTCTTCATGCCATGCATCCATGTGACCCCAATCTTCAATCTGTCCAACTTCTTTAAGATATATGGAGTGACTCACAGCAGGGCCATGTAGATGAGGAAGTTCCTTCCGAATGGAGGAGATCACGTCCTCGAGTATTTTCCTCGGGAGACCCTCGATCCGGAACATTGCAGCTTTCTCCCCCATCGAAACTCTTTTTTCTTTTTCTTTCTTTCTTTTTTTTTTTTTCGAGACAGGGTTTCTCTGTGGCTTTGGAGGCTGTCCTGGAACTAGCTCTTGTAGACCAGGCTGGTCTCAAACTCACAGAGATCTGCCTGCCTCTGCCTCCTGAGTGCTGGATTTAAAGGCGTGCGCCACCACCGCCCAGCTCATGCACACTCTTATAAAGATAAACATTTAATTGGGTGGCTTGTCATCATGAAATGGCATGACATTTGCAAGCTGAGAGGAAGTGAGCTGAGACACTGGACATGACTTGAGCATAAGAGACCTCAAAGCCGCTCCCCACAGTGACACACTTCCTCCAGCAAGGCCACACTTTTCCAGTAAAGCCACACCTCCTAATAGTGCCACTCCCTATGAGCTTATGGGGCCAATTGCATTCACACTACCGCAGCAAGTATGTACCATGGAGCTTGTGTGGAGGCCTTGGGACAACTTGCTGGAGTTTGCTTCTCCTTCACCATGTGGGTACCAGGGACTGAACTGGAATTATCAGGCTTGACAGTGCCTTTACCCACTGAACCATCTTGCCAACCTGACATGATTTTTGTTTTGTTTTGTTTTTGTTTTTGTTTTTGTTTTGCTTTTTAGTTAGGGTCTCACGTAGCTCAGGCTAGTCTTAAACTCATGATCCCCCTGTGTCCTCCTCAATGTACTGGGCTCAAAGGTGTTATCACAGAAGGCTCCCCATATTTCTGATCACATGACACATTCCAGAAGACAATTGTCAGCTCGTCCCAATGACGTGTGGATTTAGTTGGAAATTACAGCAGTGTACAGTATGGCAGACCACACTTTCTGTTCTCTGAATCACTAACCAGACATGGAAAACAGGCCCAGGGCACAAGAGAAAAGCACATGGAATTAGAAATTATAATTCCTCTACACAGCCAGCTTGCAGCTTTTTTATTGTTTTGCTTCTTCTGTTTTTTGTTGTTGTTGTTGTTTTGTTTGTTTGTTTAGAAAGGAATCTAGTGTAGCCCATTGTCACAGTTAGGGTTTCTATTGCTGTGATAAAGCACCATGAACAAAAGCAGCTTCGGAAAGGAAGTGTTTATTTCATCTTACAACTGTCAGGTCACACTCCATCCCTGAGGGAGTTCAGGGCTGCAACTCCAGGCAGGACCTGATGCAGTGTCGATAGCAGAATGCTGCTTCCTAACCTGATCCTCCTGGTTGGCTCAGCTGTTTTCTTATACAACCCACAGCCACTTCCCCAGGACTGGAACTGCCCAACCCTACAAGCCAATATAATGAAATTGTTTTATCAGCTGAGAGTCCCTCTTCCCAAATGACTCTAGTTTGTGTCATAAAATTAGCCAGCATACACAGGCTGGTCTGGAGCTCAGTATGTAGCCAAGGGTAGAATTCTGTGTTTCTAGGCGTGTACTATCAGATCTGGCTTATTTTGTGCTGGAGACGGAACCCAGGGCCCAGTGCATGCTAGCCATGCCTTTGGCCCTTCTGTTTTTTAGATTTTTTTTTTTAAGATTTGGTAAGTTTATCGTGTTCTGCCTGCATGTATGCCTGCAGGCCTGAAGAGGGCACCAGGTATTATTATAGATTGTTGTGAGCCACCATGTGGTTGCCAGGAATTGAACTCAGGACCTCTGGAAGAACAGTCAGTGTTCTTAACCTCTGAGCCGTCTCTCCAGCCCTAGACTAATTTTATTTTAATGTGTATGAGTGTTTTCTCTGCATAATTTGCAGGCAGCTTGCCATCAAAGCAGTTTGTTTCAGTCAGCTTAGCTGTTCTAAGTATTCTCATCAGTCCTTACTGCTCATATAACCTTGGGAAGGAGGGGCCTGTCTGTCTGCTAGGTTCAGGGACTTCCTGAGACTTACAAGTTGTTTGCTTCCTGAGTCTTAATGATTCTCTGATAGTCGTCATCTTTTAAGAAGTGTTTGTTTTCAAGACAGGGCTTCTTTGCATATCCCTGGCTGTCCTAGAACTCTCTCTGTAGACTAGGCTAGCCTCAAATTTAGAAATCTACCTACCTCTGCTTCACAAGTGCTGGGATTAAAGGTGTGCACCACCGCTGCCTGGCAACAAATGTTTTTTTATTTATTATATTTTTTAAAAACAGAATCTCACTGTATAGCCATAGCTGGCTTGGAACTTGCTATGTAGAACAGGGTAGCCTTGAACTCAAAGATCGGTTGCTTCCACCTCCTGAGTGCTAGCATTAAAGGTGTGTCCCACGACACTTTTATTTTTCATAATTTATTTTTATTTTATGTACTTTTGTTTGTTTGTTTGTTTTTTGTTTTTCAAGACACGGTTTCTCTGTGGCTTTCAAGGCTGTCCTGGAACTAGCTCTTGTAGACCAGGCTAGTGTACATTGTTGTTTTGACTGCATGTATGTCTGTGTGAGGGTGTCAGAAGCCCTGGAACTGGAGTTACAGACAGGAGTAAGCTGCCAGGTAGGTGCTGGGAATTGAACCCAGGTTCACTGGTAGCCAGTGCTCTTAACTGCCTTAGGACTCAGAAGCACCTCCAACTTTTGAGCCTTTTTTTCTTGTTGTTGTTGTTGGTGGTTTGGTTTGGGGTTTTTTGTTTTTGTTTTTTTGAGACAGGGTCTCTGTGTAGCTTTAGAGACTGTCCTGGAAATCGCTCTGTAGACCAGGCTGGCCTCTGCCTCCCGAGTGCTGGGATTAAAGGCATGTGCCACCAGTGCCTGGACAACTTCTGAGTCTTAAGCCTCCTTTACATAGCAAACTTTCTTGTCAGACTATCTTTTTCTTTTTTTTTTTTTTTTTTTTTTTTTTTTTGGTTTTTCGAGACAGGGTTTCTCTGTGGCTTTTGGAGGCTGTCCTGGAACTAGCTCTTATAGACCAGGCTGGTCTCGAACTCACAGAGATCCACCTGCCTCTGCCACCACCGCCTGGCTGTCAGACTATCTTTTGTGGGACCACCAGCTCCCAGTGATGACCTGGAGACTTATTGTTAATTACGATCTGTCCTTAGCTCAGGCTTTTTTCTATCTCTCTCTCTCTCTCTCTCTCTCTCTCTCTCTCTCTCTCTCGTTTTTTTTTGTTTTGTTTTGTTTTTGTTTTTTGAGACAGGGTTTCTTTGGAGGCTGTCCTAGAACTAGCTCTTGTAGACCAGGCTGGTCTTGAACTAACAGATCCACCTGCCTCTGCCTCCAGAGTGCTGGGATTAAAGGCGTGTGCCACCAACGCCCGGCTGGGCCATTCAGCTTTTTATTAAACCAATCATAGCCAATACATCTTCACACAGCATGCAAATATCCCAAATATCCCATAAAATCTTGGGAGTTCTAGTTTCTTTTCTGCACTGACCAAAGCAACTTAAGGTAGAAAAAGTTCGTTTCATCTAGCACCTGCCTGTAGCTGGTGATCTGCTGCCGAGGGACACTGGGGTGGGAGCCGGAGCAGGAGGCTCCAGTTTTGTGAAGAGGAGGCTGCTTGCTCGCCTGCTCTCTGACTGGCTCAAACTCAAACTTCACTCTCTCCTACCTGCTCAGGTCCCCCAGAGTTGGAGTTACATGAGTCTGGGCACTGAAGTCGGTCCTTCGGAAGAACAAGTGCTCTGAGCCACCTTTCTAGCCTCAGCTGTTTTATTTGACAGCCCTTTGAGGAAGGGCTCTTTTTTTTTTTTCATATACTTTTGACACATTGCTTGTTTTTGAGACAGGGTCTTAAGCAGCAGTCATGGTCTAGAATCTTCTCACCTTAGTCTCCCTAGGCTCTGGGCTCGTAGGCCTGTGCCACATGCTGACCACCTAGCTGCATCAGCTTATTGAACTCTACAATGTTTCTGGAAGGTGAGACAACCTTGACCAGTTTATAAAAAGGGAAGCTGAGGCACATAGCTGAGGTTCAAACAGGCTGACCGGCCCCCTAGCACATATGGGTATCCACCAGCCTTTGCTTCCCTTACATGAATTTCTTTCCAAAAGCCATGCCTGTTTGGGGGGGGGGCTGTGGCTGCTAGCCAGGCATGACAAGGGAAGCCCAAGTCTCTCTTGAGCCTTCCTGGCTGGCTTCATCTCCGGAACTCTCTCTAATGCCTTCCCCATCCACTGACACCCCTATTCCTGCCTGTGGTCAGCCCAAATACCAGATAGGGTGAATAGCAGCCTTTCTCAAACATTCCTCATCACTGTGGCTCAGTTTAGGCTGGCTGAGGTCATGAAAATAGAGCTGGGGTGGTTGGAGCAGGAGGGAAGTGGAGGGATGGGCTAGTTGGGCCTTCCCACCCTATCCAGCCAGCCCTCTGCCAGCCCTCTTCAGGGAGGGGAAGGGGGTGGTCATCCTCCCAGGCCCTGTGGTATAGCTGAGTGAGAGAGAGAGAGAGAGAGAGAGAGAGAGAGAGAGAGAGAGAGAGAGGTGTCCTATGCCGAGAGATGGAGGGCAGCTGTAGTCACAGGGGATGTTGGAGCAAGCGAATGCTGCACAGGAACTTGAGAGGCACCACAGGGCTGATTATGGTAAGGTGGGCAGGGAAGGTCTGGAGTGGGTTTGCCTACCCCCTGCCTGGCTCTGTCCCCTGGCTAGGTGGCCAAGCCTACCCTGCATGGGGAACCCTCACCAGGCTGTCCTGCTGACTCTTTTGCTTTATCTCAGAGGCCTCAAGAGTTGCTGCTGCTCCTGATGCTAAGGTGGACCGAAGCACACATGGAGGACCTTGCTTTCCCGCACTTGGGTGACAGCTCACAGCCCCTGTCGAGGGCCTGTCCTTGGCGCTGCTCCTGTCCCCGAGATGACACAGTGGACTGTGCTGGCCTGGGCCTGAGGGTATTCCCAGACAATATCACCAGGGCTGCTAGGCACCTTTCCTTGCAGGTGAGGGCTGGGGGTCAGAGACTCAGGGAGGCATAGGGCCCAGGTGGGGTCCAGGTGGGAGGTCTGCATGCCAGAGCTGAACCTGGCCTTACTCTGGGTCTGCTAAGCCAGGTCAAGACCAGAGGGAGAAGCACTGTGTGTTGGGAGAGCTGAGTTTGGGGTCGGTCAGCATCTTAGAAGGAATAAAGCTACTTTGGTCAAACACTGAGTTCTGGGGCATGATGGTGGAGGTCATGGGTGCTTTGGGAAGACCTGGGCAAAAAGTGTTGGTAAGGATTCTGAGGCAGGAGGATAGACAATGCATAGTGAAGCCCTGTGTATGTGTGTGTGAGGGGGTGTAGAGAAGTGTCAGAGGCCAGGTTCAAAATTAGCAACTTGTGAGGCTTGGGGGCTCAGGATAATAGTGTTGTTGTGGTGATGTAGTGAGGGGCCCAGTGCCTTGCCAATCTCAAGGGTGTTTGGGGTCAAGGAACAGGATGTTTTCTTTTCTCCTCCTCCTCCTCTTGTTTTTGGAGACATTAGGGATGAACCCTGGGGCCTGTGTATGCTAAGCAAGTGCTCTGCCACTGGGCCATACCCCTAGGTTACAAGTTGAGGAGCAAGGGACAGGTCTTGGTGTGATTGTCTTCACTCCACAGAACAACCAGCTGCAGGAGCTCCCCTACAACGAGTTGTCTCGCCTCAGTGGCTTGTGCACCCTGGACCTGCACAGCAACCTCATCTCCTCAGAGGGTGAGGACCTCAAGCTTGGAACAACCAGGTCCCAACCCCTCTCCACATCCGCTGTTTGCCAGTTGTGGCCAGCTCTTCGGGGTTTTCCACAACTGCTGAGCAGGGTGGAATTTCAAGGGTTGGGGGATGGTTGTGGCTGTGGCTTTTGAGTAAGGACAGGATGTGTGTGGGGGGGTTGGTTGGGGCAAAAGTCTGGGGACCTATACTAATAAGGCTATACTAGCCTTCAGTGTAAGGCCTTCAGAGGAGAGCTGCTAGAAATGCCGGTCCCCTCATCATTGCCCACTGTGCTCCCCACCCAGGCCTGCCTGATGAGGCCTTTGAGTCCCTCACCCAGCTAGAGCACTTCTACGTAGCCCACAACAAGGTGAGCATGTATGTAGCCCTGAGAAGGTGCATCCCGGCTGGGTCACTCAGTGTGCGGGACCTGGGTGTAGGGGCTGGGGAGGCGGGAAACCCGCACCGGGACCAGATGCTGTTGCTGTTGCAGCTCTCTGTTGCGCCCCAGTTCCTGCCACGCACCCTGCGTGTCGCCGATCTGGCTGCCAATGAAGTGGTGGAAATCTTTCCTCTCACCTTTGGGGAGAAGCCTGCACTCCGGTAGCCTTAGCCCTGGCTCCGCCCCATCCTTTGATTCCAGGATCCTGCCCCCAGACTTTCCCGGGGAGAAAGAGGCCTTCCCTGGGAATCGCGTACATGCCTTTGCATAAGGAGCAGAGGGCAGCCCTGTTTTGAAGGGTGTGAAGCACGGCTCTGCACCGGGGGTGGGGAGTCAGAGAAGGCTGGGGTCTGTTCTGGGGATCCTGGGGCATGGCCCTGTGCTTGGGGGTGGGGGATGGTATCAGGGAGGACTCAGGTCAGTTTTGAGGGGTCTGGGGCACTCGGCTCAGTTTGTGGACTATGTCCCTAAACTTGGGGTCAGAGAGATTTCAGTGGGCGGAGCTTGGGTGGTGATATAGAATCCTATACCCTGTATCAAAAGTCTAGACTAAGCCTGGCTGTGGTGGCTCACACCTTTAATCCCAGCACTTGGGAGGCAGAGGCAGGAGAATCTCTGAGTTCAAGCCCAGCCTGGTTTTCAAAGCAAGTTCCAGGACAGCCAGGACTACTGAAAAACTCTGTCTTGGAAAAAAGAAAAAAAGAAAGAAAAAGTCTAGACTAGGACAGATACCATCTACTTCAACACACACACACACACACACACACACACACACAGACACACACACACACACACAGACACACACACACACACACCACACACACACACACATACACACACACACACACACAGACACACCCACACACACACACACCACACACACACACACATACACACACACACACACACAGACACACCCACACACACACACACCACACACACACACACATACACACACACACACACACAGACACACCCACACACACACACACCACACACACACACACATACACACACACACACACACAGACACACCCACACACACACACACCACACACACACACACATACACACACACACACACACACAGACACACACACAGACACACACACACACACAGACACACACAGACACACACACACACACACAGACACACACACACACACACCCCACACACACACACACACACACACACACACACACACACAGTCTTACTCTCAGACAGAAGCTGTGGACAGCCCCAGCTGGAGTTGAGGGGCACCAGCATTTGGGAGGGTGGTGTGCATATGTATAGGCTGGTGGCTGCAGCCTTGCCCTCCTCAGGTCTGTGTATCTCCACAACAACCGACTGAACAACACTGGTTTGCCACCTAACACCTTCCATGGATCAGAGGCCATTACCACCCTAAGTCTCTCCAGCAACCAGCTCAGCTACCTACCACCCAGCCTCCCAGCATCCCTGGAGAGGCTTCACCTGCAGGTACCCTACCTGTCACACACATGCCTGGGCCTATGTCTCAGCCAGTGAGATTTCTCCACCTCCTCCTTTTCATCCTTTCAACTGCTCCCCCGAATTCCAGATGTTAGAACAATAATTTAGAAAAAACAAAACAAACAAATAAAAAACCCTCCACTGCCTTGCACAGGCAAGACAAGCTCCTGGGCACACTTCTTTACTCAAGAGCCTTCTGTGGCTGTCGTAACTGTTCATGCCGGACCCTCTATTTCACTCTTCCTCCTCCAGAACAATCTTATCTCCAAGGTGCCCAGAGGAGCACTTAGCCTCCAGACTCAACTCCGAGAGCTATATCTCCAGCATAATCAGTTGACAGATGGTGGCCTGGATGCAACTACCTTCAGGTAGGTGCACAGGAGTTCTGTGCTGGCAGCAGCCCCCTCCTTTATAGGACTCCTAACCCAGGACTTCATTAAGTGAATACCTAATATACACCCAGCTGCTCTGCCTGGCATAAAAGGTATTACTGTATGTTGTGATGCTTGGCTGGTGTCTGTCTCCTGCTACCTGTTTTTGAGGTTCTATTATCCAATAGTTGTGGGGTTTTTTTGTGATGGGGTTATGGAATCCAGGTTCTTGCACATGCTAGGAGTCTACCCACCCCCCCTTCCGGATTCTAGACAGGTAGACAGGAGCTCTGAGCTGCACCTTAGTTCTTGCCTTTGTTTTTCTTTTCTTTTCTTTTCTCTCTCTCTCTCTCTCTCTCTCTCTCTCTCTCTCTCTCTCTCTTTTTGGACATGGTTTCTCTGTGTAGCCATGGTTGTCCTGGAACTTGTTATGTAGACTAAACTGGCCTCCAACTCATTTCACTCTGCCTTCCTCTACCTCTTGATCCCTGGGACTAAGGATTACACCACAACACCTAGTTTAACTTATTTATTTTTATGTATATGGGTGTTCTGCCTGCATGGACGTCTGTACACCACGTGTATGCAAAGCTTGAAGAGCTGTAAGAGGGGGGGTTGATCTCCTGGACTGGGGTTATGACAGTTGAGGGCCACTACGTGGTGCTGGGATCCTAACCCTGGTTCTCTGGAGGATCAGCAGCAGTGCTCTTAACTGCTGAGCCATCTCTCCAACCAAGCCCTAAATTTTTTTAAAGAGTCTGGGTAAGTGTAGTCCAGGCTGGCATGGAATTCACAAGCCTCTTAGCTCACCTCATGAGTGTGGGATTCCATACCTGTACCCATGGCCATTCTGGGCTTCCTTCCTTTCTTTTCTTTTTTGTTTTGTTTTTCGAGGTAGGGTTTCTCTGTGTAGCTTTGGAGCCTATCATGGCACTTGCTCTGTAGACCAGGATGGCCTCGAACTCACAGAGATCCGCCTGCCTCTGCCTCCCAAGTGCTGGGATTAAAGGCATGCGCCAACAACTCCCACCTGGCTGGGGTCCCTTTCTTGAAGTGAGCATTCATCCTATCACCTCTCTCTCCCATCAGCAAACTGAGCAGCCTTGAGTACCTGGACCTGTCCCACAACCAGCTGGCCACAGTGCCTGAAGGTCTACCCAGAACCCTGACCATACTGCACCTGGGTCGCAACTGCATCCGGCAGGTGGAAGCGGGGCGGCTGCACAGAGCGAGGGGCCTGCGCTACCTGTTGCTGCCGCACAATGAGCTGGGGGCCTCGGCGCTGCCCGCGGGGACGCTGAGGCCTTTGAGGGCTCTGCACACGCTGCACCTCTATGGCAACAGGCTGGAGCGCGTGCCCCCAGCATTGCCCCGCCACCTGAAGGCCCTGGTGATGCCCCACAACCGCGTGGCCGTGCTAGGTGCGCGAGATTTGGTTTCTGCGAGAACCCTGGTTGAGCTCAACCTGGCCTACAACCGCCTAGCCAGCGCGCACGTGCATCCCGGCGCCTTCCGCCGCCTGCGCGTCCTGCGCAGCTTAGACCTGGCGGGCAACCAGCTGAGCCGGCTGCCTGAGGGCCTGCCCGCCAGTCTGCGCTCCCTGAGACTGCAGCGTAACCAACTGCGGGGCCTGGAGCCAGAGCTGCTGGCCGGCCTGAATAGGCTGCAGGAGCTGAGCCTGGCACACAATCGGCTCCGCGTGGGCGACATCGGGCCTGGCACCTGGCACGAGTTGCAGGCACTGCAGGTCAGGGGTTAACTACAATGCGGTTATCTCCACCTCAGTTCTGAGCCCCGGCATGCCATAGAACCCCATGTGGGCAGCCTGAAATGGCTAAAACAGACCCACCCTGTTTGGGTTGTTGCTCCTATGTTCCCACCTCCTGGGCATAGACTTTACTTCTGAGCACTCCTCCATTCTACCCAGCCGCCAAGCTCTGACAACCCAGCTGGGCACAAAACAGGATCCTTATCCTTTTCTGACCCCAAACATCCTAGTTAGAGAAAAGGCCATCTAAGGCAATCACACTGTGATAGAAGGTAAGGAGGGTGGCCAGGTGTGGGGACTGAGGCTGTCTCCACAGCACAGGGGAGGCTGCAGTAGGAGGGTGGGATCTGAAGCCAGCTGAGGCTACAGAAAGAAGAAAGAAGGGGAGGAGGGAGAGGGAATGGAGTGAGGGAAAGAGAAAACAAAGGGTGACAGTGAGTGTCTTGCTAAATCAGGCAGGTGGAGACCACATCTACCTGTTCCTCCCATGAATAAAACAGCAATATATCAGCTCAGTGACTGTCTATGGAGTGAAGGAATTTGGCAACCATTAGTGAACACGAAGTGTAGCTGGGCATGAAGGGGAAGGGGAGCAGGGAGGAGAGGCCCTGAGCCTGCCTCCTGCTGTGTGCCTTTTAGGTGCTGGATCTGAGCCACAATGAGCTATCCTTTGTGCCCCCTGACCTGCCAGAGGCCCTGGAGGAGCTGTACCTGCAGGCTAACCGTATCAGCCACGTGGGGCCAGAGGCCTTCCTCAGCACACCCCGCCTGCGTGCCCTCTTTCTGAGGTGAGCTCGGGGCAAGAGAGTCTGGATGATGGCAGTAGCTCTTCCATCACTGACCTAACTTCTCTGCCTCTCTGCACAGGGCCAACAGGCTTCATATGACAAGCATCCCGGCTGAGACCTTCCTGGGGCTTGCACATCTACGTGTGGTCGACACTGCAGAAAACCCAGAACAGGTCCTGGTCCAGCTGCCACCCAAGGACAGGGGGCCCTGAGCCCTGAGGGCTAGCCAAGTAGCCCTGACCTGAATCAGATGAACTATGGACTAAGTTCTTAGTTGAGGCCTTGGAGGCTGAGCCTATTGTGCCGAGCGCTGGCCAAAGCACTAGAACAGGAGTCTACTTGGTGGTGATTGGGGGCTGAAGCAGGAAGTATGCTGCCTTGAACATTCTGGGGTCCAGTCTACACCTTCCATCAGATGGTGATGAGGAAAATAAACTGAACCCCTTTCCACGACTCAGTGCCCTCTGGGACCCATCTCTTCTCTACACTTCACTCAGGAGTGCCTTTTCCATCCCTGAGACCAAGTGCACTTAGAGACAGGAGCTAGGATCTGAGGTCAGTCTGATAGTGTAGTCCCATGGCCAGTTGACTGGTGTGGATGACCTAAGACAGGTACATGGGTCATTAACCAAGCCACAGGCGGAGGCCCAGGCCAGCCACTGAGCAGGCCACATCAAAGAAAAAAGACAGAGCTGAGGCGGGTGTGGCCTTGGCTGTTTATTCTGTGTTGGCCCCGGGGGGAGGGGGACAGCTGGGTCAGCAAGCCCCTGGAGAGCCAGCTGAGTTAGACAGCCTCAGTGGCATCTTTGGAGAGGACTGTAGGGTTAAGACTGGGGAAGGAAAGGAAGTAAAGTGCTTGCAGGGCCCTCTGGGCTTGTGCCCAGCCACCCTCCTTGCTCAAGATGCTCCTGGATGTGCAAACAGGACTCTCCAAGGCCCAGCCAGCCAGGCTTGGGTGAGGGTGCTGTCCTGACATCCCTGGGGCTGGGGGCCTGGACAGGGTGAGTCCAGAACCAACTGTCCGTTGATTGTCTGCTTGTCTGCTCGGTGGCCCTGGAGCTCTGCCTGGCATTGGGCCGTGGGGCCTGAAGTCCAGGGATGGGCCTCACCTGCGGAGTCTCTGAAGCTGTGGAAGACATAGGAGGTCAGGGGACCAGCACCACATGTGTCCCTCCCCCCAATACCTCCCTCCCCCTGCCCCTGTAGCCACTCACTTCGCTCTCCACCAGGTTCCGGCGGTACAGTGCCTCTTTTGCAGCCTCCTAGGGGAAGGGATGAATAGCAGCTGACAGTCTAGGATGACCCTGCCCCTATACCTCAGTACCTACCACAGGAGTCCAGCTTACCCTGCTTCCATCATAGCCTAAGCGCCGGGCAGCCTCGGTATAGAAGTTCAGTTGGCGTTCCAGATGGGATGCATACTCTTGAGAAGTGGCAGTGGGGGTCAGGGTCAGGCAGCTGTTTCTCCCCAGGCTTCTGTCCCATGTCACGGGGTTTCTCATTTCCCTACCCCCCCCCCCACCTCTCTATCAGACAGGCCTCTCCCCAGCCCCTTTCTTGACCCTCCCTCAGCAGATAAACCCTCGCAGCCCCGCTCCTGCCCCTACCCCTGCGGATGCCAGCACCCCCCTGCTCCAGCTGTGCCCTCTGCCACTGGCTACGCTGTACTACATCCTGGTACTGCTGGGCCACTTCTGGGGGCACAGGCCGGCGTGCCTGCCTCAGGGCCAGAATCTGGAGGATACAAAGGGGGCTGTGAGCCAATCTGGAGCCCACTCCTAGGCCCACCCTACTGAGCCCAGCAGGACAGGCACCCACCTTCCTTTCCAGCCGCTCTTGGTCAAAGGCTAGCACACTAAGGCTATGCAGGGGCCGTGCTGATCTGCAGGGTAGAGAGGGGCAAGAGGGGGCTATAGAGGGTGTAGTGGGGATCCAAAGGAATCAGTTGGGTAAAGGCACAGGGGCCAGGGGATCTCAGCTAGGGGAGAGACCACAAGAAGTCCAGGGATCAGAGAAAAGTAGGTCTGATGCTGGAGGTTCTGGGGCATGTCTGTCATCCCTGCACGTGAGGCGGGGGGCGCATGAATAAGTCTGAGACCTGCTTGAGGGAGAGTGACAGAGGAGGCTGAATATGCTGACAGTGGTCACATCATAAAAGATCAAGCAGAGTCTTTTGAACTGAATTTCCCAAGAGAAGGGGTTCAAGAATGGCTTTGGGATGGGCATTGGTGGTGCACACTTTTAGTCCCAGCACTCGGGAGGCAGAGGCAGGCAGATCTCTGTGAGTTTGAGACCAGCCTGGTCTACAAGAGCTAGTTCCAGGACAGCCTCCAAAGCCACAGAGAAACTCTGTCTCAAAAAACCAAAAAAAAAAAAGAAAACAAACAAACAAACAGGATATGGTCTGATGTGTCACGCAAACTACAGAAGGGACTGAGAGACAAGAGGATTCTCTTCAGTGTGACCCAGCCCAGACTCACCTGTTCCCTGGTTCCCTCCAAGTGGCAGCTATGGAAGGCACCTTTGCTTTGGGCCCGGAGACCTGTTTTGGTACAGAGAGCCAGTCCAATGAGGACTGAGTCCTTGACCCCAGCCCTACTCCCAAGGGTGGCTGACAGGCAGGGGGCTCACTGTGGGCACAGCTGCTGGGAGGTGATCAATGACCAGCCACCTCTCCGTTGTAGTCTCCAACTGCTGGGCTGTCAAGGGCTCCCGGATCCGGACCATCACTTCAAGCCTCCCCCCAGTGGGGCGGCGGCCATCTAAAACCTAGGTTGGAATAAGAAGGGGTGCTATGGGCAAGAGCAGCAATCTCAAGCAGGAGTCCTGAGGAATGCCAGAGGGGGGATGGTGACAACAGACCACGGTGCTCGAGTCTGCAAGCATGGCTGCCGCCTCACCTCCAGGGTCTCACGGACTTCACAAGCCGTCTCCAGCATATCCAGCTTCAGCTGGGCTGTGCCCAGCACCCTGTCAGTCTTGAACAGCCCCCTGTGTGTAGGGAGGTGTGATGGTTGGCGTGCTGCTCCACAGCCCTGAGCCCAGACCCAGTGGTCCCTGGCTTACCCCTTGTGGACCACTTCGAATTTGATGCCCTTGGTTTGGATGGCCCTTCGGAAGCCGCGGTGGCCACGGCTGATGCACAGTTTGAACTGCTCCTTGAATTCTAGGAGCGAAGGAGGGAAGAATGAGAAGAGACTGGTTATGCGGGAGTGTGCACTGGCCTTGTGTGTGTGTGTGTGTGTGTACATGTTGTGTATGTTCATGTGGCAGGCAGAGCACCACCTCAGGGGCACCCCAAGCTAACTGACCCACAAGCTCTCTTGTCCTCACCTCACTGTGGGAGTATCTTTTCCTCACCTCACTGTGGGAGTGTGGGATTACGGAGGCAGTTACCGTGCTGCCTCCAAGTCAGCTCTGCAGATTCGAGTTCACTTGCTTCTGCTTGCACTGCAGTTGCTGTACCTACTGAACCATCTCCTCATTCCTTTTTTCCCCCCATGAGGATGCTGGAATGGAAGCCCAGGGCTTGTGCATGCTGGGTATACCTTTGAGCTACAATCCCACTCTGGCCCTAGTTTTAGGTTTTCTTCTGTAGGAGGCCAGGTGACTCACCAGGGGAGTCTGTATTTTTGATCACACTGGTCTTGTCTTTTTGAGCTTCTTCCTGTATAAAGGAGGAGGCAGGAATGATCAGGCCCAGGCTAGACCTGGATTTCTTGCTTGCCTTACTTCCTGGTCCCCACCTACTTAGAGGTTTCACCTACCACATTGGGATAAGGGAAGTCAAAGCGGACAAAGGCATCCAGATCACTAGGAGACAGCCCTGCAGGTAAACAAGGGTCAGACCTAGGCAGAGAAACCAGCCCACCCTTGCTTCCTTGCTTCTGGGCCACCCCCTCACCTGTGGGTGTGGGCAAGTTGATGCCCTTCACGATAAACAGAAGCATGTCATTGTTGCTCAGGTCCGGAAAGACCCTGTCAGTAGACAGGGAAACAGAGGCAGGCAACTCAGCCCCAACCTGCAGCTCTCAGTTCCCTCAGTGGAGTGAGGAACTGAGCTGTGCCCTTTACTCTATATTCCTGGAGTCCTACTAAGTACCAGCCAGGACTCTAGCTGCTGGAGGATCCTTTTCTTTTGAGACAAAGTCCTTGAATTTCTGATCCTCCTGCCTCCACCTCCATAAACAGATCACAGGCATGTACATCTGCTTATGAGGTCCTAGAACCCAGGATCTCATGCATACTGGGCAAGCATTCTACCAACTGAGCTATACACGTAACCTTTTCCTTTCTGAGTGTCTGCCAAGTGTCAGCCAGGGCCCTAGCCAATGCAGCACTTCATGCCCACCCCAGTGCCTTTGCAGGTCTGTGCTCCCACCACGCGTTTACTCTTGACCAGAGATAAGGTCTACAAGACTTCCAGAAGTGTAGATTCCCTCCCCAGCAATACCCAACCACGGGGCTGTGGACCCTACTTGATGACACTGAAGGTCCTTTGCTCAAAGCGGGCAGCAGGTGTGGGTAGACTGTGGGCAAAGGCTTGCTTTAGGGTGTCCATGCTCCGCTTACAGTCTTCTGCCAGCTTCTCGAACCTACAGGAGAGGTATTGCTTGGGGCCCTGGCCGGCTGGGCTGCCAGTGCAGGTACCAGTGAGGTAGGCACTTACTTGATAGTTTCAGCAATGTTGCCCAGGTGGGTGAACTGTGTGGCGTGGTTCAGACACATCTGTAGGGGAAAGAATGGGTATGTGTGGAAGGCCAGGAGGAACAGTATAGGGGGATGGGGACAGGGTCATGGGTGGGACCTCACTTCATGTTGCTGTCTCAGGAGTTTGGTAAGCTCCCCATAGCGCCGCACAGCCTCCTGAGACAGGCCTGGGCCAGGCCGCTGCACCAGTACAAAATCGTCCTTGTTGACAGGGGCGGGTGGTACCTATGGAAGGGGCGGGTAGATGAGGCTGGTAGGCAAGGACCTACTGGTCCAACAGGAGTGGCTTGTCTGGGGCTTTGACACCGTCTCTGCCCCTTACTCTATCTCCCCTCAGTTCCTACGCTGTCTGACATAACAAAGACATCCTTTGGGCATCCTGGCCCTGTCTGTGCAGCCCTGTACATGTGCAGGCAGTGACTAGAGACAGCCAAGTGGTGTGATCTCAACACACCAGTGATCTCAACACATAAAAGACTGTGGCAAGAGAACTGGAAGTTTGAGGACAGCATGAGAAACACAGTGAGTTCAAGGCCTGCTTATGTACAAAAACCGCATCTTAAAAAAAAAAAAAAATCAGAACTAAAAATCTAAGAAGAGGGGGGTTAGCTCAACAAGTATCTCTCTGGAGGCACATTCCAGGGTGAGAAGGGCATGTGCAAAAACCCTGAGGCTAGAGTGGAGCTGGTGTCTGAGACAGGAAGGCAGTGAAGGAGGAGGCAGATCATGCAATACCATGGGCC